AACACCGGCCCAGATAGTTTAATGTCCCCTATGGAAATTTGCGCTCGAATTTGACCGATAATACCCAACGAGCCCCCATTTGCAGCGTAAAACGGTATATCGACAGGGAGCAACGGGCGACTCTGAACGGGCAGAATATTATAAATCAAATCCGAAATGATAGTTGCCGAAGCTCCCGTATCGACCAATAACCGTACCTCCACCCCGTCAATATGTCCCGCGACAACGGACGACCCCGCCGATGCAGCCACAACTCGGTGAGCCAACTCGGACCATTGGCCCGGTTGGAGCGCCCTCCCCGACATGCCGCGACCCGACGCACCAGCACCCAACCCCCGAGAATTGTGTGCCGGACCATGTGATAGGAAAGTGGGTGTGTGTGCAGGCCGAACATGTGGGGTGCCATGACTTGCCCGAGGATGTTGCGAAGGCTTGTGAGGAGGGCCGTCCGCAGCTCCAGGTCTCGCACCGCGCTGTCGAGGAGCCCGGCATCCGGACGCCACGTGACCCCGGAGGCCACAATTATAGCAGACGACGAGCGTTCCAGAGGACTTGGGCTGGTCTCGGTGGCTTGGGACGTCCCGAGCTGGACGCTCGGCAGATCGCCATCCTGCAGAACGATCCGCAGCGAAGGCTCCCTCCATTCCGGAAGAGGTCGCCGCCACGGTGTGTCGTGCAGCAGCTTTGTTCGCCTTCCTCCGCTGGGAGATGAGATTGGCGTGAATGTGCCTTGCAGCCCGCAGTGATGACATATCCGCATCGTCCTGCGCTAAGATGGTGAAGTCCAGATCGTCAGCCAGCAGCAAAATTTTCTCGGCCACCATCGCATCGATCCCCTCTTCATCCATGCGCGGGAAAGCGTCTTTCGCCAATGACAGCAGGGCCGTGCGATAAGCGAGTGGCGATTCCTTGTCACCCTTCTGCCGCTCATAGAAGAGCTGGCGACAATCAGAAGGCGGCCCATAAACGGTGGCCAGCAGCTGCAGCGCCGACTGAATGGTGGAGCGTGCCGACTTGGGTGCAGCAGTGAGGGTGCCCAGGGTGTCGCCGTCCAATAACGCCGGGAGAGCACACAGCGCCTCGTTGTCCGACCAGCCTGCCATCTCTTGGTGGGCCAAGAACCGGCGCTGGAACCCCCCCCAATCGCCGTCGCTTGCAACAAATACCTGCAGGGCCGGCAGACGTTGCTGGAATGTCGGCTCCGTCTCCGATCCTCTTGCAGCATCCGTAGCGCGTCCCCGTACAGTATGAGCAATGGCGGACTCTAATGGGTGTCGCGCCGTCAGTGACGTGTTGGTCGGGGCTTGGTCGGTGCTGGCGTCCGCTGGTGGTGACGTCGCAACCCCTGATAGGCCGCCACCGCGACCCGCCTCCGCCGATGACGTGGCGGCTGCTGGCTGGGCACCGTCTCCCGCGTGACGAGCTGGGACTCCTCCCTCCGCCCCTACTGTCTGTGAGGCGGGAGTTTCGAGTCGCCCCGCTGTTGTAAAGGCGGGAGTTTCTGGCGGGCGTTGTCCATCTTCCCGCCGTGTCGCTCCTCCCGGCCCCAGGCGAGTTATTTGTTCGAGCATAGCGGCCGCTGCATACAAGAGCTCCGCCAGCCGCGAGTGAGCCAACGCCAACTCGTCAGTCGACGTCCCGGCCCTCTCCGACGACCCCGCCGATGTTGGAGCCGGCAGCAGTTGTGCAGGTACGTCGGCGGCGATGTCTTGCACTGCCCCTCCCTCGTCGTCATCCTCTCCTGGGTCTTGGGCACGAGTCTTCCGTCTCGTATCCATGCTTGGACCACTTCTAACACCAGATGTAGTAAGTAGCAGAGGAGACGATGTCGAAGTTGAGACACACTGTTTATTAACTCCGGGACAGATACAATAGTTGAAGGGGTATCGGCCCCTTCACCCGTACTATGGGAAACCCACCCTAGTACTAAGCCCTCTGTCCTGTCCCCCAGTCCTCCTCTACTGGGCTACGGGAGGCTGACTGATCTCGCCCTGGCAAGCACAGATCTCGGCACCAGCTAACCAGCCTTGCCCTGACAAGGGCAGCGGTCTGGAAGCTCCTGGGCCGCGCCACTGGCTTACCCGGCTCGGCCCTTATAAGGACGGCGAGACCGGGGAGTCTCAGGGCCTAATCTCCGAGTCTTGGATCTTCACTGGTCAGCTTCGTGTCGAACTGCCCTCGAGCTCTTTGGGTTCCACCTTTTATAGGGATCGCCTCCAAGGGCTGGGGGCGTGGGCAATAACTGATGCGGACGTCGGTGTGACCACCCGTGTATGTGAGTGCCGACAGCCCTGTGTTTGTTGTCCGCTGTTCCTCCCGTAATAACCCCTACACACAGCTCACTCACACTGACTCACACACACTCACACGCAGCTCACACAGCTCATTCTGTCACACAGCTCACACACACACAGCTCACCCTCACACACAGCTCACTCACACACAGCTCACTCGCACGGATTCACACACTCACGCAGCTCACACACACAGCTCACCCTCACACACAACTCACACACACAAAGCTCATTCTCTCTTACACACAGCTCACTCTCACATACAGCTCACTCTCACACACAGCTCACTCACACTGACTCACACTGACACACACACAACTCACTCTCCCACACAGCTCAATCACAGCTCACTCTCACAGTTCACACACAGCTCACTCACACCTCACTCTCACACACAGCTCAATCACACACAGCTCACTCTCACAGCTCACACACACTGCTCCCTCACACAGCTCACATGCACAGCTCACTCACACTGACTCACTCACATTTCACTCACACTGACTCACGGACTCTCACACGCAGCTCACACACAGCTCATTCTCACACACAGCTCACTCTCACAAACAGCTCACTCACACTGACTCACTCACACACAGCTCAATCACACACAGCTCACTCACACACAGCTTACTCGTACACAGCTCACTCACAAACACTGCTCACTCACACACAGCTCACGTTCACACAGCTCACACACCCAGCTCACTCACACTGACTCACTCACACACAGCTCACACTGAATCACGCACTCTCACACGCAGCTCACACACAGCTCATTCTCTCACACACACAGCTCACTCTCAAACACAACTCACACACAGCTCACTCTCACACAGCTCGCTCACACACATACACAGCTCACTCACACTGACTCACACACACACACGCAGCTCACACAGCTCATTCCCTCTCACATACAGCTCACTCTCACTCACAGCTCACTCTCACACACAGCTCACTCTCACTCAGCTCACTCTCACTCACAGCTCACTCTCACACACAGCTCACTCTCACACACAGCTCACTCTCACTCACAGCTCACTCTCACTCACAGCTCACTCACACACACAGCTCACTCTCACTCACAGCTCACTCACACACACAGCGTACTCTCACACTCACAGCTCACTCTCACACACAGCTCACTCACACACACAGCTCACTCACACACACAGCTCACTCTCACACTCACAGCTCACTCTCACACACAGCTCACTCTCACCCACAGCTCACTCACACACACAGCGTACTCTCACACTCACAGCTCACACACAGCTCACTCTCACACACAGCTCACTCTCACTCACAGCTCACTCTCACTCACAGCTCACTCACACTCAGCTCACTCTCACTCACAGCTCACTCACAGCTCACTCACACACACAGCGTACTCTCACACTCACAGCTCACACACAGCTCACTCTCACACACAGCTCACTCTCACTCACAGCTCACTCACACTCAGATCACTCTCACTCACAGCTCACTCTCACTCACAGCTCACTCACACACACAGCGTACTCTCACACTCACAGCTCACACACAGCTCACTCTCACACACAGCTCACTCTCACTCACAGCTCACTCTCACTCACAGCTCACTCACACTCAGCTCACTCTCACTCACAGCTCACTCTCACTCACAGCTCACTCACACACAGCTCACTCACACACACAGCTCACTCTCACTCACAGCTCACTCACAGCTCACTCTCACTGACAGCTCACTCTCACTCACAGCTCACTCTCACTCACAGCTCACTCACACACACAGTGTACTCTCACACTCACACAGAGCTCACTCTCACACACAGCTCACTCACAGCTCACTCACACACACAGCGTACTCTCACACACAGCTCACTCTCACTCACAGCTCTCTCACACACAGCTCACTCACACACACAGCGTACTCTCACACACAGCTCACTCTCACTCACAGCTCTCTCACACAACTCACTCACAGCTCACTCTCACACACAGCTCATTCTCACGCACAGGTCATACGCAGCACAACTCACACGCCGCCGCACACGCCGTTCGTGAGCACCTAACACAAAGATCCCCCGTATAGCCTTAACAAACTGTAGGGGCAAGTGCTGTTAGCGAGCACCTAATAAGGGTGGGACGGCACACGAGGGGTGGGTGGCCAGCACCACGCCCGGTCACCTTTGTCTCCCTCGTGGCGATGTTTACACACCGCACCGGGTCCTCGTTTGAGGCTGAGTCGACGTAGGGGAGGCTCAGGACCGGTTCAGAGACTCGTCACTGGCGGTGTTGGCCACGAGCGGGAATGGAACTCGGCTGGTCGGTGCGGAGCGCAGCGCTCACCACGACACTGCCGCTCCCCTTCTGTCAACAAACTTGAACTTTGACCCCGCTCTCTGACGTCACCGCTTAGCGTGACCTCATCAACGTCAAACGCCCGGGGAAGTCGACCTCGCTAGTGACGTCATGTCACCCACTACCGACCACCGCGCTCTTGAGAGTGACGTCACCTCCCCTCAGCCGCTGCCGATATCTGTTCCAGTGACAATCTTTATTTGGGCAAAGCTCCGCCCGGTGACTGGCCGCTCATTAACATAACGTATTCGTGAAAGCCGTCGCGAGTTTATTGCGACGAGTCCGTCACCCGCGCCCCACCCCTCCTACAGATGGGGCGGCTCATTAGCATAATTTATTTAAATTAAACCGCTCATTGTGGGAGGAAAGTGTTTTCGTACCCCGCAAGTGACGTCATGTCACCTCCTACTGCCGCGTGACGTAGTGAGGTAACAGGAAGCTGCCGTTCCGCCCGTGCACTGAAATCCGAGGTGAGAAATTCTCATCGCGGTTGTGGTGGTGGTTGTGGTTGTTTTGATGGTGATGGTTGTTGTTTACCGAGGTAGAGCCTCGCGCTCTCTCTTGTTGGGATGTCAATTGAGTAGCAGCGAGCATGAAAGCGATGTCCAGGTAGGAACTTGACAACGCGGGGCCTTGCCTCCTGCCCTCGCCTGATCGCATTTGCTTCAATTCTCTTGCTTAAGATAATTTGTCTTGACCTGGCTAACTACTTTGTAACTTTGTTTTACTTTAAATATTGACACAGTTTTTTTTTATATTTTACCAGGCCAAGCCCGCTTTAGCTGCTCTACCGCTCTTGTTTTCAGAAGCGACCTGCCCACAACAACAACAAGGTGAGGCTTGTCATCAGCGTGGCGGTGTTGACTCTAGACGCGTGGCGGTGCTCACTCGCTACATGTGGAGGGGAAACCGGGGGATCGGGAAGGAAATCCACGCAACCACGGGGAGAGAGAGACACGCAGCCTCGGCGATGTTAATTGTACCTCAATGAATTACTTGGTAGAGTGAGGAAGCATTAATACTGAGCAGGTGAAGGTGGCCAGGTGTGGGTCTAGACACACCACCACCTGTGAACCATGCCAGTGTGTGACAGTGGTGAAGCCAGTGGGGGTGGGGTGGCACATGCCCCCCAACGATCCGATCGAAATCCCAAATTTCGATTGGATCATTGGGGTTTAATAGTAACTAGCTTCACTACCCGGCTTCGCCCGGGACTTGGATTCTTGTCTTGAATTCATTTAATATTCCCTTATTTCACTGAAATATGTTTTATTATTGAAAGAATGAAAAAAGCCAAAACAAATCAATTTACCTAAATCGGATATTTTCACTCAATTCAACCTTAACCCACTTCTACGTAAACTCGATTTGGCCACTCGGTAAGGGAATGACAAGGTGAGCTGAAAATAGTCGCGTTCACTTAGAAATTCCAGACAGTAAATGCTGTGAAAATTTCATGATGCCAGAGCTCAGCGTTGTCTTGATGAGAATTCTTCTCATCAAGACTCTATATCATAGAGCCCAATGCATCTTCGACCAGGAACACATTGCCAGTGAACTCAAACACGTACGCCAAGCTCTTAAGGCTAATGGTTACTCCGACTACACAATCCGCAAAGCCATCACTCCAACCATCAAGAAGAATCCTGTTGAGGAGCCTTTCAAGACCATCACCTTACCCTACATTGCTGGGGTCACAAAAAAGATCTCCAAAATCCTGATTAAACACAAGATCCAGGTCCGATTCAGCACAGTACATAAAATCCGTGATCTGGTACTGTCTGTAAAAGATGTGGTTCCAGACATACAGTACCCTGGCGTCTACAAACTAAGTTCCCTCTGTGGTAGCAGTTACATTGGGGAAACCAAACGACATGTCTCGGACCGCATCCGTGAACATAAAGCGGACTTGAAACACGGTAGGACAAACACCTCAGCCGTGGCAGATCACTGTTACAACTCAATGGGCTCACATGACATTGACTTCTCCAAGACAGAGGTTCTCTGCAAGCCATCTGGCTATCATGAGAGATTCGTTCATGAGGCGATCCACATATACAAACACAGAGACAATTTTAACCGAGAAGATGGATTCTGGCTTAGCAATCATTGGCAGGACGTAATAAACCATTTCGGATCTTAACTGATTGTGTTCACGTTTATGGTGACTTTCAGACCGCGTTCCACTCACTGGCATTGTATTCTCCGCAGGGAATGGATTCTTTGCTCCGCAGCAAGTTTCCCCTCCATGACTCACCCATTGATACGACGGTCAATGGTACAGCGTATAATAACAAATAGTATAACATTTATATGCTTAATACAATGTACAAAGTAATATATAGTATCGCAATTGTATAGTAAACATATAGCAGTGTGATACACATTAGGGTGAGTAGAATAATACATAGTGTTATATTAAAATGTGGTTTATAGCAATACAGTATGTAATTTAATGTTGGGTTTATCTATGGCAGTATATAGTACGGTGTATGCTCGTGTGATGTAAGTGAATAAAGTTTAGATGGAAGCATATTATATAATTTTTACGACGTAGAATTGTAATGTATTACTTGCTGTTAGTAACTCAGCTTATTGTAGAGTATAGTAAGTATACTGATGGTGCTATGCAGTTTATACTTTAGTTTTTTGTGTAGTTTATACTTTAGTTTTCTACATTGTTGTTTAGTAACTGCAGCTACATACTATTAACATTCTTTTCCTTTGTTTAATGCTACTGCACCCCACCTTGGTGCTGTTGATCCTGCATAATGCATGGGCATAATATGACTATGAAACCCCCACCCACCTCCTACGCATTTCCCATGAATATGCTAAATTCCTCTTCATATGCACATTCTTTTTGTTAAGGCGCTCTTGCACCTCCAACGCAGCGTATATATAAGCTCCTAGCTTGGTAGTGTCTCATTCTTCACCTGAGGACGGCTGCTTGCATTGTAGCCGAAACGTCGTGAGAATTATTTTATTTTATTATTTTTTATTTTTATTATTTTATTGCTTCCCTTCTACGTGACTTTACCGAAAGAACCAAGAAGATGGATCCCTGCAGTCACGAAAGCTTTAAATCGAAATTTATTCAAATATATCTGGCGATACACGATATTCTTCGTGTACACTCCGTCTTCCTCCTCGTCGTCAGGTCCCTCAATAAGCGCCTTGATGTTGGATCTTGCCGTGACTCGCGATAGTGCCACGTACAGTTGGCCGTGCGAGAAGCATGGCGTTGGTAGATATAATCCCAGGTTGTGAACAGTTTGCCCTTGCGCCTTGTTGATGGTCATCGCGAAGGCTGGGACAATGGGGAACTGTTTGCACCAAAGTCGAAATGGGAAGTCCTTCGTGTCCAATTCGCGGCGGATATGGTTGTTCTCAAGCAGCGAGTCCAAGACCAAGTGTGGGTACTCGGAAAGCTGCAGGAGGTCGTCAAAGTCCGACAGAGCGATCCCACCTGCCGTGAGGAACTCGTGGAGGCTGTGAAGGGTCTTGAACTTTACCATTTCTTTTATTTTCTTTGATGCTGCTAATCCTGCATAATGCACGGGTATAAATAGTACTAATCACATACCTGCATTTCCCATATCCCCTCCCTTTGATGCTGCTAATCCTGCATAATGCACGGGCATAAGTAGTACTAATCACATACCTGCATTTCCTATATCCCCTCCCTTTGATGCTGCTAATCATGCATAATGCACGGGCATAAGTAGTACAAATCACATACCTGCATTTCCCATAAATATGCTAAATTCCTCTTGATATGCACATTTTATTGTGAAGTCGCCATTTCCCCCCCTTCCAACCCAGCTTATATATATGCTCCAAGCACGTGTGCTGTTTCATTCAGACGCTGTCGCCTCGACAGACCTGGTTTTCACCTGAGGACGGTTGCTTGCGTTGTGGCCGAAACGTCGTGAGAATTATTTTATTATGTTTAAATTTTTTTTATTGTATTACTTCCCTTCTACGTGACTTTACCGAAAGAACCAAGAAGATTTACCATTTCTTCTTTGTTGGTCAGCTGGCGGTACTGGTACTCGTAATCGCGAGCCAATTCGTCATAGAATTTATCCCAGAGAGCCTTCGTATCTGCTGGCATGGAATACAGCAGTATCGTAGCGAAGAGTTGACGAAGCTGGTACGGCATCTGAAAGAGCGAGGCTTCTTCCAGACACGCAACCCATTCGCGATCGCTCCCAAGGTAGCCTGCTCGCATGGCTGCTTCCAGCGGTTTGTTTTATTTTATTCGTAACGCACCATCCATATGCGCTCCACCATCCACCATGCCCTTGCATCGCAAAGACACAGCTCCGGTGTGCGTCAGCATGTGCGCCATCCACAGTGACATTGGTCAGCAATTGCACCGTTCCGATCGCACACAGGTTGGCCCCTGCATCCTCCGTCTTTATGTACACACACAGACAGATGCGCTATGGGGCCACCTATTTTTTTTCTTATATTAAAATGTATTTTGTTGGTGTGTTTACGTTTATGTATTCCCATTGTGGGTGTTGTACGTATGCATCAGATTTTTGGGTTCCTCACATATGGTATCAGAGGTGTGGGTCACTCCATTTCTCAATCGAACAATAACGGGGATCGTTTAAGTTATGGCAGCTTGCAGATAGAAACATTGCATGATCGTATACTAATAATGACAAAATTTGTACCCCAGTGGAGGGCATCCCCCACCCGGCGCTTCTTACCGGTACTGTGAGACTTACAAATCCAGACCTCTCCTCCTCCTGAAGCGTTCACAATACCCTGTGGTAGTACCATAATCATCTCAATAAAGCGATCACTTTCCAATGCCCATTTTGATCCCGGGAGTTACCCGGGTGGTGTCACACTGTACTCATTGTTTTAGCATGTCGCAAATTCCGATATGGCTTGTGCAACGGCCAGAGAGTGACAGCGGCGGGGGGCGGGCTGCAACCTTTTTAGACAGTGTATTACATTTCAAAGTGCATGGGATTGGCACTCCAAAACATGAAAAATGTACAGTAATGCCAACTGCATCCGTGGCAAACATGATACGCGGACACATGCTGCATATTATGCAACACATGCCCTTACCAGCAGCAGCATGCCGTCCATGGAGACGTGATGAACGTCAATACATAATAATGGTAATAAGCCGGATAGTACCCATTGTACCCATGAATCAGTCAGCTCGGTTGCCCCATGGGGGTATTGACCCATGGGCGAAACTATAGGGGGCGCTACGCAACTGGCCGTGGTCCCGGCAGGTGAAGCTGGCAGCTCAGTCCGCTAAGACTCACTGTATAGCGACCCCTGCCTACTCGTAAGGTAAAGTTGTTTGGGGACTCCACTAATCGCAGCACGCAGCACCCATTTTTTACATAAATAAACGTAATATTAGCGTAACTACCATTCGCACACTTGCTTACACACCACACTCACACAGCGCAGGGTCGGCGCCCACAGTGCACTGCAGCACTGCGGCGCAGACCTTGCCAAACATATGCTATCGCTCTCTTCAAGGCGTGTTAATTATTTATTTTTATCGAATCAAAGTGAGCTGTGGCTTTTTGTCGGCTGTTTTATTTTCATCGAATCAGAGCGAGCTGTTTGGGCGGGTCCGTAAATAAATTAACGTCCAGATACGCACGCAGACGACCAAACCAGCGTAGTTGTTTAAGATAGCAGTTGTACCCGTTCTTTGCACGGATATGTATTGAACTCCAGGGGCGGTTTCTTCATTAGGGCGATTGGGCGACGCACCACCAATGTCATTCAACCACAGAGTCACGCTAGCCGTCACTGTCAGCCTCTGGATATAGTCCAATCAGCGTCATGTCACGTTCTGTGGAGTACCGCCTCTTTTTGGGCGATTTCACTCCGGCTGAGAATCGCCCCGAGTGGCCCCATAGACTTACATTCAAAGATGTTTTTTTTCGAACGGGGGCGCTGCAATGCATTCTCTATGGCTTCCGGGAGGGCATGCACTGCTTACGTCATCATACGTGCTAACGTCATCATACGTAAGCACGTTTCATCCAACAATATAATTTATCGCCACCTAGTGGAATCTTTAATAAAATAAACTTGAGTGGTTTGTTTTAATGGTGAGTATATAAACAAACAAGATGTATTGTAAGAGTCACTTTATTTTTCATTAATATTAAAGAAGTGAAGTTGCCTTTACATTCTTAAGCTGTAAATGTATTCATTGCATGGGTGGACCTTATCCTTATCAATCATCCAGACATTTGCCCCCCCTGAGAGATTTTGCAGGAGCCGCCACTGTTGAACTCCGAGAAGCCAATGGCCTCATCGGCCAGGAGCGAAACGCCACCTAAAATCTCCCGGCACGCTGTTAACAGCTCTATGCATTGCAGAGCGCTTAACTCAGGTGTGTTGCGGGTTGACGCCACACACTTCATGGTCATTCCCCCCCCCCAAAATACAAAAGTCTATTATTATGCTTTTTACATTGTGTATAGTATGGAACCTACCCACATGCCAAATTTCAAGTGTGTTGCATGTTGGGAACTATGCTAAACATTTCGAAAAGACACACGTATCCACACATTTTCATTTTATATATAGACTAGCATAAGTACCCGGCGTTGCCCGGGTGAAAAATATATTTCTTAATAACCTTACATATATACACAGATTTCATTGTTATGTAATGTTTGAAAGTTGTCAGAAGATTTTAAATGTATTTTCCCCCCGGGCAACGTTGGGTATATCGAGTTTATACCACAAAGTCGTCGCTTGACACGGGTGGGGTGTCGAGGCCTAGTACCGTGCAGAGCCTCCGGCCTCGCCTAGATTGCCCACCCCCCCCCCCCGCCCACCCCCCCCCCCCCCCCGCGCTACAATAATACTGTCTAATCGCTATAATTTTATTATCTACCGACCCTATAATAGTAATTGCACACATTGTGGTGGGGGGGGGAGTGAAGAGGACGTGAAACTTTGATGAATTTACCTCAGAGTCGCGTGGTGGGTGTCGAGGCCTAGTAGCGTGCAGAGCCTCCGGCCTCGCCTAAATTGCCCACCCGGCTGAGGCTGGGTACGGGTGCCGTTCCCCCCCCCCCGCGCTACAATAATACTGTCTAATCGCTATAATTTTATTATCTACCGACCCTATAATAGTAATTGCACACATTGAGGTGGGGGGGGAGTGAAGAGGACGTGAAACTTTGATGAACTTACCTCAGAGTCGCGTGTTAATGCGTGCGCATATTTTTAACGGGAATAAAAAATGGCGTCCACCCCGCAGCGAATGCGTCGCTACCCGTTGCCAGGGGCAGCCGCCATCCAATGAAACTGCGGATGGTCCGGCGACACACAGACAGACAGACAGATTTGCGATTTTATATATATAGATAAATCGGCATTTTGCGACCCCCACTGCCACCGTGTGGCATATTACGTGCCAGGTACTCTAAGAGAGGACAACGGTCTGAGTCCATAATTGGCAATAAGTAACGGCAAAGCAGTTGCAAGCGACTCAGAATTGTGCGCAGTTGCGTATACAGTACACGACTTCCCTAAAGGCAAACACCTTCAGCGAGCGCCATGCCGATCACACGCTTCGAATAAAAAGCATGGGATAAGTCCTTGCTTAATAACAACTCCTTACATACTAACAACTCCTATCATTTTTCATTGCTGGAGGGGTTGCCCCCCCTACTTGAAAATCCTGGCTCTGCCTATGAGTGTGGGACAGTGTCAAGTTTGTATTTGCAGTAATGTCTATTAACTCTATTGAGCATGGAGGTTGTATCAAAATAGTAGTTTGTTTTTATTTTCCTCTGGAACTCCTTGTACGAATGGAGTCAGGAAGTTATCACAGCACACATGCAGCTGATGTTGGAACTGTTCATCCCAGCATTCAAGGACATCTGTGCCTGGCTTCACACCTCTAAGTTGCGATTGAACATTAATTTATGCATTTCTGCATAACACAAATAACACAAATAGTATTATTCTCAACACCCTATGATATTCCTTTTGGAGCCAGACAGCCGAAATTGTGTGCTCGGAGTTTTGGGTTAACATTCATTTTGAAGATACGAGGGCTTCCAGGCATGTTTGTGACCATTTGCCCTCTCATTGTGTGCCATAACAGCCTGTGTGAGGAATTTGGGACACTTTTTCACTATATCATGAATATATGAATAAGTATATACACGTGTGACTGTATATATGCATTCCTCTGTGCATCAATACTGACGTGTAGATGGTGTTGATATTTTTTTTCTGTCTGCAGCTGTCACTTCCTCTGCAGAATTTGTCTGATGGAGCAAAGGCACTCGGCACAGCTCGGTGCAAAAAGGCAACAATGTGACCAGCGTGCATACAGCACGGATCGTACTGGAAATTTGACACGGCACCAGAGAACTCGCACAGGAGAGAAACGCTTCAAGTGCAGTGTGTGTGGGAAGGCATTTGCATATTCATCTCTTCTTGTAATACACCAGAGAACACACACGGGAGAGAAACCCTTCAAGTGCAGTGTGTGTGGGAAGGCATTTGCACATTCATCTTCTCTTGTAATACACAAGAGAACACACACAGGAGAGAAACCCTTCAAGTGCAGTGTGTGTGGGAAGGCATTTGCAGAGTCATCTACTCTTGTAGAACACCAGAGAACACACACGGAAGAGAAACCTTTCAAGTGCAGTGTGTGTGGGAAGGCATATGCACATTCAGTTTCTCTTGTAGCACACCAGAGAATGCACACAGGAGAGAAACCCTTCAAGTGCAGTGTGTGTGGGAAGGCATTTGTACGTTCATCTCCTATTGCAATACACCAGAGAACACACACAGGAGAGAAACCCTTCAAGTGCAGTGTGTGTGGGAAGGCGTTTGCACAGTCATCTACTCTTGTAATGCACCAGAGAACACACACGGGAGAGAAACCCTTCAAGTGCAGTGTGTGTGGGAAGGCATTTGCACATTCAATTTCTCTTGTAGCACACCAGAGAATGCACACAGGAGAGAAACCCTTCAAGTGCAGTGTGTGTGGGAAGGCGTTTGCACAGTCATCTGCTCTTGTACAACACCAGAGAACACACACAGGAGAGAAACCCTTCAGGTGCAGTGTGTGCGGGAAGACGTTTTCACAGTCATCAAATCTTCAAAGACACCAGAGAACACACAAGCATCTGAAGATTCACAAGGAGTGGAGTCTGAAATCCGCTTGTGAAAGTCAAAGTGCCGCAATGAGCCCATCCCTCATGAAACAAGAACCGGAAGAAAATCCCAGCTTGGACACTTTTAAAGGTATCGAGGTGAAATATGAAGAGGTGAAGGTGAAATATGAAGAAGTGATGGTGAAAAGCGAAGAAGTGAAGGTAAAATGTGAAGATGAAGAGTCAACTCAAAAATCGGACCTTCACATCGATGGAGGCAACGTGAAGCAGGAGGATAATTCTCACTGCGAGGCAGAGCAAGGCAACTCCCAGCAGTTGGTGGAAGTGGAGGTGTGGGTGGACTTTCTCCGAGACAATACAAAGTCAAATGGAGACCCGGTAGTGGTGTAAGTCTGAGACAATGTCGCTCCAATAGACGCACCTTTGTCACAGGCCTTTAATTACAAGAATGTGAAGTTGAACTCAATTTCTAGGTGCAACCTGCAGGGTAAGAGCGGCCAGTCTTTGTGGACCTGTGGGCTTGCGTAGATCTCTAACCAGGAGCGATAGCCAATAAGCTCCCAAGCTTTTGCTATGTTATCATAATTGCATTTTTATTGTGCTTGCTTAATCGCCTCGGAAATGCTAAGTTTTTTTTATCGTATCTCGTCTCAAACACTCGAAGAGCATCCCCAAGTAGCAGCTGCCCCTGTGTGGCACAAGGAGGTGGCCCTGCACCGGTGGCCCTGCACCGGCGGCCCTGCACCGGCCTGCATGTGGACAAGAGCCTGTCAGTAGCGGGCAATGGTTGATGTGGCATCTTGGTTGTGGAGTTTGTTGGTAATGTTTAGAATTTCATCAATTTTGACCCAGACGCCAGCATGCAATGGCCTACTCGTTTTGAATGACACAATAGTATGTTGTACATATACTGGTAAGCAGACGGTGTGTATTTTTTTAAATAGCTTCTTGTTAATTCGATGTAACCTGATGCAGCATATTTCAGTGCAGTAATTAAATTTGGTCAAAATGACTCAATAATTTAGAATGAATACTTATCTGATTTTGTCTATAAGGGTCAAACATTGAATAAGTGATGTTAGATTTGAAGTTTTCGTGACTGCAGGTATCCATACTCTTTGGTTCTTTCGGTAAAGTCACGTAGGTATAAAATAAAAATAAATTAAATCACAACGTCTTGGGCTCAACACAAGCGTCCGTCATCAGGTGGGACAACCACAGCAAGAAGCATCTGCTGAAGTGGGCAAAAGAGGTGCTATTGTCTTCCTAAGATGCGTAAAGAAGGCTCTTCATTTCGGCCCACACACAAAGCTCACTTTTCACACAGCTCACACAGCTCGCTCACACACAGCTGACTTTCTCACAGCTCACTCATACACAGCTCACTCACACTGACTCATACTGACTCACTCTCACAAACAGCTCACACAGCTCACTCACACTGACTCACACACAGCTCACTCACACTGACTCACACTCTCACAGCTCATTCTCTCACACAGCCGACTCACACTGACTCACACTCTCACAGCTCATTCTCTCACACAGCTCACTCACTGTTCACTCTCACACCCAGCTCACAGCTCGCTCACACTGACTCACACAGCTCACACACAGCTCACTCACACAGCTCACTCACATACACAGCTCACTCGCACAACTCACAAACAGCTCACACAGCTCGCTCACACACAGCTCGCTCACACACAGCTTGCTCACACAGCTCGTTCACACACAGCTCACTCACACTGACACACACGCAGCTCACACTGACACAGCTTACAGCTCACACTGACTCCCACAGCTCACACTGACACAGCTCACCCTCACACAGCTCACTCACACAGCTCACTCGCACTGATTCACACTCATGCAGCTCGCACACAGCTCATTCTCTCACAACTCGCACACACAAAGCTCACACACACAGCTCACTCACACACAGCTCACTCTCACAGCTCACTCTCACACACAGCTCACTCACACTGATTCACACTGACTCACACACAGCTCACTCGCACACAGCTCACTCGCACACAGCTCACTCGCACACAGCTCACTCGCAAACAGCTCACTCACACTGACTCACACAGCTCACACTGAATCACGCACTCTCACACGCAGCTCACACAGCTCATTCTTTCACACACACAGCTCACTCTCACACAGCTTGCTCACACACATACACAGCTCACACTGACTCGCACTGACTCGCACACACAGCTCACTCACACTGACACACACACTCGCACGCAGCTCACACACAGCTCATTCTCTCTTACACACAGATCACTCACACACAGCTCACTCTCACACACAGCTCACTCACACAGCTCACTGACACTGACTCACACACACAGCTCACTCGCACTGACTCACACTCACACGCAGCTCACACAGCTCATTCTCTCTTACAGCTCACTCACACAGCTCACTCTCACACGCAGCTCACTCTCACACACAGCTCACACACACAGCTCACTCACACACAGCTCACTCACATTGACTCACACACAGCTCACTCACAGCTCACTCAAACACACAGCTCACTCTCACACACAGCTCACTCTCACATGCAGCTCACTCAAACACACAGCTCACTCACACTGACTCACTCATACACAGCTCACTCACACAGCTCACTCTCACATGCAGCTCACTCATACACACAGCTCACTCACACCTGACTCACTCATACACACACAGCTCACTCTCACACAGCTCACTCACACTGACTCACACACACAGCTCACTCACAGCTCACTCTCACACACAGCTCACTCACAGCTCACTCTCACACACAGCTCACTCACACACAGCTCACTCACACACAGCTCACTCACACACAGGTTATACAGTTATACTCACGCAGCACAACTCACACGCCGCCGCACACGCCGTTCGTGAGCACCTAACACAAAGATCCCCCGTATAGCCTTAACAAACTGTAGGGGCAAGTGCTGTTAGCGAGCACCTAATAAGGGTGGGACGGCACACGAGGGGTGGGTGGCCAGCACCACGCCCGGTCACCTTTGTCTCCCTCGTGGCGATGTTTACACACCGCACCGGGTCCTCGTTTGAGGCTGAGTCGACGTAGGGGAGGCTCAGGACCGGTTCAGAGACTCGTCACTGGCGGTGTTGGCCACGAGCGGGAATGGAACTCGGCTGGTCGGTGCGGAGCGCAGCGCTCACCACGACACTGCCGCTCCCCTTCTGTCAACAAACTTGAACTTTGACCCCGCTCTCTGACGTCACCGCTTAGCGTGACCTCATCGGCGTCAAACGCCCGCAGAAGTAGACCTTGCTAGTGACGTCATGTCACCCACTACCGACCATCGCGCTCTTGAGAGTGACGTCACCTCCGTTCGGCCACTGCCGATATCTGTTCCAGTGCCAATCCTTATTTGGGCAAAGCTACGCCCAATTACTGGCCGCTCATTAACATAATATATTCGTGAAAGCCGTCGCGAGTTTATTGCGACGAGTTTGGCACCAGCGCCCCACCCTTCCGACGTATGGGCCGGGCTCATTAACATAATTCATTTAAGTTAACAGAGCCGCTCATTGTGTGAGGGGAGTGTATCGTACCCAGCAAGTGACGTCATGTCACCACCTGCTGCGTGACGTCACGCGGTAACAGGAAGTTTCCGCTCCGCCCGTCCACTGAAATCCGAGGTGAGAAATTCTCATCGCGGTTGTGGTTCTTGTGGTTGTGGTGGTGGTTGTGGTTGTGGTGGTTGTTTACCGAGGTAGAGCCTCGCTCTCTCTCGTAGGGATGTCAATTGAGTAGCAGCGAGCATGGAAGCGATGTCCAGGTGGAATATTACAACGCGGGGCCTTGCCTCCTGCCCTCGCCTGATCGCATTTGCTTCAATTCTCTTAAGATAATTTGTCTTGACCTGGCTCACTACTTTGTAACTTTGTTTTACTTTAAATATTCACGCAGTTCTTTTCATATTTTACCAGGCCAAGCCCGCTTTAGCTGCTCTACCGCTCTTGTTTTCAGAAGCGACCTGCCCACAACAACAACAAGGTGAGGCTTGTCATCAGCGTGGCGGTGTTGACTCTCTGCATGTGGAGTGGGGACAACAGGAGGATCCGGAGGGAAATCCACGCGACCACGGGGATAGAGAGAGGCACGCAAACTCCAAATATACAGCAGGCTTCAGGGTCGGAGAGGTTGTTAACATTTCACCACGGGGAGATAAGAGAGACACGCAGCATCGGCTGTGTTGATTGATCCTCAATGAATTACTTGGTGGAGTAAGGAAGCATTAATACTGAGCGGAAGAAAGGTGGCCAGGCATGGGTCTGGACACACCACCACCTGTTAACCATGCCAGTGTGTGACAGCGTCAAGTGTGTGTTTGCTAGTAAAGTCTATTAACTCTTGAACACGGAGGTTATATCAAAACAATAGTTTGTTTTTGTTTTCCTCTGGAACTCTTTGTAAGAATGGAAACCGTCAGGAAGTTAACACAGCACACACATGCAGCTGAAGTCAGATCTGTTCATCCCAGCATGCAAGGACATCGTGAGCCTGGCTGGCTTCACACCTCTAAGTTGCGATTGGACATTAATTTATGCATTTCTGCATAACACTATTAGTTTTATTTTCAACACCTTTTGCTATGTCAGTGGAATTTAGCTTTTAGAAATATTTATTTTGTAGCCAGACAGCCAAAATTGTGTGCTTGGATTCATAGTATTAGGTGTTTTCGGTAAAGTCACGTAGGTAAAACATTAAAATTAATAAAAGTAAAATAAAATAAAAATCACGACGTTTCGGAAGCAACACAAGTCTCCGTCATCAGGTGGCCTCCGTCACAGCCAGATTCGCTGCATCAAGTGAGGCAATGATTCAAGATGTAATCCCTTAAAAGCAAGTTGAGGGGGGGGGAGCTCATCAGAATGTGGTAGCCAATGAATGGAACGTATCGGGAGGGAGGGGGGGCGGGGCTTAAAGACGGCACGAAGTGCCAAGTAGAACGCATCGGGAGGGGGAGGGGGGGCGAGGCCAAAAGAATGCACAACGTGGTACACGAGAGCGGCGGCGTGGACGTGGTTGTGCGCAAGCAACTACTGCTGCACACGCCAACGCATTGGACAGAGATGGGGAGGGGAGGCCAAAAGAGAGTTTGGGGTGTAAGTGTACGTTGACGTGTGTGTACAAGCACCTGTTGATACACATGATAGAAAAGAACGAAAATGCCCTTGTTTATACCAGTGCTGGCTGAACAATGAAGAGAGTACTGTTAAACACTGGGGATGTTAACACTCGGTAAAGTAAAGTAAAATAGTGCTTGTCAGATAACATGGTCCAAAAATGTGTATGTAAGTTTTTTTTGCGTGGTTGATAACATCTTTCCAATGATTACTAAGTTTGTACCCATCATCACGGTTGAAATTATGTCTGTGTTTGTATATTTGTATGGCCTCGTGTACAAACCTTTGATGGTAGCCAGGAGGTTTGCAGAGAACCTTGGTCTCGGAAAAGACAATTTCATGAGAGCCCACCGAGTTGTAGCAATGATCGGCAACGGCCGAAGAATCAGTTCTGCCGTGTTTCAGATCTGACTTGTGCTCGCGGACACGATCAGAAACATGACGTTTCGTTTCTCCAATGTAGCAATCACCACAAATGCAACACAATTTATAGACTCCAGGATACTGTAAGTCAGGAACGACATCCTTCACAGATGGAATCAGATCACGGATTTTATGCACTGTACTGAATCGGACTTGGATCTTATGTTTGTTTAGAATTTTGGAGATCTTTTTGGTCACGCCTGCTATGTAAGGTAACGTGATAGTTTTGGTCGGAGTTTCATGTGGCTGTTTCTGTGTGGTGGGAGAAACGGCTTGGCGGATAGTGCGGTCAGAGTATCCGTTCATCCTGAGGGCCCGATGTACATGTCTTAATTCACCGGTCAGGTGGTGTTGGTCAGAAACGCCATGGGCTCTGTGGTATAAAATCAATCAATCAGAATCAGAAACGGTTTTAATCGCCATGTAAGTTTGCACAGACAAGGAATTCACTATGGCGGGACGGTGCATACATTGAACAAGTAGGAATCTTAACTTATATAAAATGTATACACTCTAACTATACTAACGTTACAAAGTATAAGTAATACTAAAAGGCTAAAATCTTTAAAATTATGAATAAGTAGACCTTATAAAATGCGAAATGTAAAATGTTAATTAGCCGTATTAAACAATCTTAAAATACAAATAAGATTACACGTAAGTATGGAAAGGTGTAATTATGTAGATAAAATGGTATAGTAAGTGTAACAGTCATTTTAAGTGTAAAAGTCATTTTAAGCCCTTGGCCTTGTTGAGGAGGCCAACAGCGGATGGGAAAAAACTGTTTTTGTGACGTGAGGTTTTGGTCTTGATGGACCGCAGCCTTCTGCCGGAGGGGAGTAGCTGGAACAGAGAGTGTCCAGGGTGCGAGGAATTGTCCGCAATCTTCCTTGCTCACCTCAGGGTCCTCAAAGTGTGCAGGTCGTCAAGGGTTGGTAGATTACAGCCAATCACCTTCTCAGCAGTGCGGATGATACGCTGCAGTCTGCTCTTGTCCTTGGCAGTGGCAGCAGCGTACCAGACGGTGATGGAGGAGGTGAGAATGGACTCAATGATGGCTGTATAGAAGCACACCATCATTGTCTTTGGCAGATTAAATTTCTTCAGCTGCCATAGGAAGTACATTCTCTGTTGAGCTCTCTTGATAAGTGAGCTGATGTTCAGTTCCCACTTGAGGTCCTGGGAAAGAATAGTGCCCATGAAGCGGAAGGACTGAACATTGGTGACTGGGGAGTCGCACAGGGTGATGGGGGTGAGTGGGGCTGTATTCTTCCTGAAGTCCACAACCATCTCCACGGTCTTAAGAGCATTAAGCTCCAGGTTGTTCTGGCTACACCAGGTCACCAGGTTGTCAGCTTCCCTCCTATAGTCAGACTCATCCCCATCAGAGATTAGCCCAATGATGGTGGTGTCGTCCGCAAACTTCAAGAGTTTGACGGATTGGTGACTGGAGGTGCAGCTGTTGGTGTACAGGGTGAATAGCAGAGGGGAAAGGACACAGCCCTGAGGAGACCCGGTGCTGATTGACCTGGAGGCAGAAACTTGTGATCCCAGTTTGACACACTGCTTCCTGTCAGACAGGAAGTCTGTGATCCATCTGCAGGTGGAGTCTGGCATGTTCAGCAGGGAGAGCTTGTCCTGAAGCAGGCTAGGAATGATGGTGTTAAAAGCCGAGCTAAAGTCCACAAACAGGATCCTGGCGTAGGATGCTGTGGAGTCCAGATGCTGTAGGGTGAAGTGGAGGGCCATGTTAACTGCGTCATCCACAGACCTGTTGGCTCTGTAGGAAAACTGAAGGGGGTCCAGTAGAGGGTCTGTGATGGCTTTGAGGTGTGCCAGGACCAGACGCTCAAAAGACTTCATTACCACGGAGGTAAGGGCGATGGGTCTGTAATCATTTAATCCTGTTGGCCTTGGCTTTTTGGGCACTGGAATGATGATGGAGGACTTGAGACAGGCTGGTACATGACATGTCTCCATGGAGGTGGTAAAGATGTTGGTGAACACTGGAGACAGCTGGTCCGCGCAGTGCCTGAGGGTGGCTAAGGAGAGACAGAGTCCGGCCCAGCTGCTTTGTGTGGGTTCTGCCTCTTGAAAAGTTTTTAACTTCTCCCTCCTGAATGGAGATAATTGTCTCTGTAGTGTGGGGTGGGATAGGGGCCTCTTGGGTGGGAAGGGGTAGTTCAGGACAGTCCAATTGTCTTTCAAATCTGCAGTAGAACTCGTTCAGGTCGTTGGCTAGGCGGGAGTCGTTAGTGGTGTGGGGGGCTCTGGGCTTGTAGTTGGTTATCTGCCTGAGCCCTCTCCAGACAGAAGCAGAGTCGTTAGCAGAGAACTGGTGTTTTAGTCTCTCTGAGTACAATCGTTTATCCTCTCTCACTGCCTTGCTAAACCTGTTCTTCAACTCCTTGAATCGGTCTCTATCCCCACTCCTAAACGCTTCCTCCTTCTCCAACCTCAACCTTCTGAGCTTTGCTGAGAACCAGGGCTTGTTGTTGTTGAAGTTCACCCTGGTGCGTGTTGGAATACAGCAGTCCTCACAGAAGCTGATGTACGACGTCACAGCCTCTGTGAGGACTGCTGTATCCCAACAGCGTTTTGATGAGAGAATTCTTTTGAGATGGGTGGTGGTGGGAATGCGGTTTCAAGTAGGAATCTGTGTGGGTGGCTTTCCTGTAGACAGAATGTCCCAAGGATCCGTCAGGCCTCCTCTCAAACAGAATATCCAAGAATGGTATTTTACCGTCTTTCTCCACTTCCATGGTGAATCTGATGGATGGGTGTCTAGAATTGATGTGGTCCAAGAAGTGGTTCAATGCTGGGAGGCCATGTGGCCAGATGACGAAAGTGTCATCCACATACCTCTTCCACATGGAAGGATGCAGGGTGGATGTCTGGATGGCGTCTGATTCAAACTTTTCCATGAACATGTTGGCTATAACTGGTGACAAGGGGGAGCCCATAGGGGGAACCTCATTCTGTTTGTAGAAGGTGCCATTCCAGGTAAAATAGGTGTTGGTGAGGCAATGCCTAACTAGCGCAGGTACATCAGAATTCAATCCATGTTGGACTAAGTCCTCAATTATTGTTAGGGTGTCCGGTACTGGGACTTTGGTAAACAAAGATACTACATCAAAGCTGACGAGGATGTCATCAGGAGATAGTACAATCTCTCTAACCATAGAGACCAATTGGGTTGAGTTGAGTACTGCCGAAGAGGTCTTGCCTGTGAAGGGGAGCAGAGTATCTGATAGAAAACGGGCCAGTTTGTACTTAGGAGAGTTTATCGTCGACACGATGGGTCGTAGCGGGGTGCCTTCTTTATGGATTTTGGGAAGACCATAGAGTCTGGGAGGTCTTGCCGCCGATGGTTTTAGAGAGGGCTTCCAGGCATGTTTGTGACCATTTGCCTTCTCATTGTGTGCCATAACAGCCCGTGTGATGAATTTGGGACACTTTTTCACTATATCATGAATATATGAATAGATATAGACGTTTGACTGTGTATATATGCATTCCTCTGTGCATCGATACTGACGTGTAGATGGTGTTATTTTTTTTCTGTCTGCAGCTGTCACTTCTTCTGCAGAATTAGTCTAATGGAGCAAAGGCACTCCGCGCAGGCTCGGTGCATACAGCACGGATCGTACTGCAAATTTGACACGGCACCAGAGAACTCGCACAAGAGAGAAACCATTCAAGTGCAGTGTGTGTGGGAAGGCATTTGCATTTTCATCTCCTCTTGTAATACACCAGAGAACACACACGGGAGAGAAACCCTTCAAGTGCAGTGTGTGTGGAAAGGCGTTTGCACAGTCATCTACTATTGTAATGCACCAGAGAACACACACAGGAGAGAAATCCTTCAAGTGCAGTGTGTGTGGGAAGGCATTTGCACATTCAATTTCTCTTGGAGCACACCACAGAACACACACAGGAGAGAAACCCTTCAGGTGCAGTGTGTGTGGGAAGGCGTTTGCACATTCATCTACTCTTGTAATACATCAGAGAACACACACAGGAGAGAAACCCTTCAGGTGCAGTGTGTGTGGGATAGCGTTTACAATTTCATCTACTCTTGTAACACACCAGAGAACACATACTGGAGAGAAACCCTTCAGGTGCAGTGTGTGTGGGAAGGCGTTTGCACAGTCATCTGTTCTTAAAACACACCAGAGAACACACACAGGAGATAAACCCTTCCAGTGCAGTGTGTGTGGGAAGGCGTTTGCACGTTCATCTGCTCTTGTAATACACCAGAGAACTCACACGGGACATAAACCCTTCAAGTGCAGTGTGTGTGGGAAGGCGTTTACAGTTTCATCTGCTCTTGTACAACACCAGAGAACACACACAGGAGAAAAACCCTTCAGGTGCAGTGTGTGTGGGAAAGCGTTTGCACAGTCATCTGCTCATGTAGAACACCAGAGAACACACACGGGAGATAAACCCTTCAATTGCAGTGTATGTGGAAAGGCGTTTACAGTTTCATTTGCTCTTGTACAACACCAGAGAACGCACACAGGAGAGAAACCCTTCAAGTGCAGTGTGTGTGGGAAGGCGTTTGCACAGTCATCTGCTCTTGTACAACACCAGAGAACACACACAGGAGAGAAACCCTTCAGGTGCAGTGTGTGCGGGAAGACGTTTTCACAGTCATCAAATCTTCAAAGACACCAGAGAACACACAAGCATCAGAAGATTCACAAGGAGTGGAGTCTGAAATCCGCTTGTGAAAGTCAAAGTGCCGCAATGAGCCCATCCCTCATGAAACAAGAACCGGAAGAAAATCCCAGCTTGGACACTTTTAAAGGTATCGAGGTGAAATATGAAGAAGTGATGGTGAAAAGCGAAGAAGTGAAGGTAAAATGTGAAGATGAAGAGTCAACTCAAAAATCGGACCTTCACATCGATGGAGGCAACGTGAAGCAGGAGGATAATTCTCACTGCGAGGCAGAGCAAGGCAACTCCCAGCAGTTGGTGGAAGTGGAGGTGTGGGTGGACTTTCTCCGAGACAATACAAAGTCAAATGGAGACCCGGTAGATGTGTAAGTCTGAGACGATGTCGCTCCAATAGACGCACCTTTGTCACAGGCCTTTACAAGAATGTGAAGTTGAACTCAATTTCTAGGTGCAACCTGCAGGGTAAGAGCGGCCAGTCTTTGTGGACCTGTGGGTTGCGTAGATCTCTAACCAGGAGCGATAGCCAATACGCTCCCAAGCTTTTGCTATGTTATCATAATTGCATTTTTATTGTGCTTGCTTAATCGCCTCGGAAATTCTGAGTTTTTTTTATCGTATCTCGTCTCAAACACTCGAAGAGCATCCCCAAGTAGCAGCTGCCCCTGTGTGGCACAAGGAGGTGGCCCTGCACCGGTGGCCCTGCACCGGTGGCCCTGCACCGGTGGCCCTGCACCGGCCTGCATGTGGACAAGAGCCTGTCAGTAGCGGGCAATGGTTGATGTGGCATCTTGGTTGTGGAGTTTGTTGGTAATGTTTAGAATTTCATCAATTTTGACCCAGACGCCAGCATGCAATGGCCTACTCGTTTTGAATGACACAATAGTATGTTGTACATATACTGGTAAGCAGACGGTGTGTATTTTTTTAAATAGCTTCTTGTTAATTCGATGTAACCTGATGCAACATATTTCAGTGCAGTAATTAAATTTGGTTAAAATGACTCAATAATTTAGAATGAATACTTATCTGATTTTGTCTATAAGGGTCAAACATTGAATAAGTGATGTTAGTTTTCGTGACTGCAGGTATCCATACTCTTTGGTTCTTTCGGTAAAGTCACGTAGGTATAAAATAAAAATAAATTAAATCACAACGTCTTGGGCTCAACACAAGCGTCTGTCATCAGGTGGGACAACCACAGCAAGAAGCAACTGCTGAAGTGGGAAAAAGAGGTGCTATTGTCTTCCTAAGATCCGTAAAGAAGGCTCTTCATTTCGGCCCACACACAACGCTCACTTTCACACAGCTCACACAGCTCACTCACACACAGCTGACTTTCTCACAGCTCACTCATACACAGCTCACTCACACTGACTCATACTGACTCACTCTCACAAACAGCTCACACAGCTCACTCACACTGACTCACGCTGACTCACTCACACACAGCTCCCTCACACTGACTCACACACAGCTCACTCACTGACTCACTCACACACAGCTCACATACACAGCTCACTCACACAGCTCACACAGCTCACACACACAGCTTACTCACAGCTCACTCTCACACAGCTCGCTCATATTCTTAGGTTTTTTCGGTAAAGTCACGTAGGTAAAACATCAAAATTAATAAAAATAAAATAAAGATCACGACGTTCGGAGGCAACACAAGTCTCCGTCATCAGGTGGGACCGTCACAGCCAGATTAGCTGCATCAAGTGAGGCAATGATTCAAGATGTAATCCCTTAAAAGCGAGTTGAGGGGGGAGGAGAGGGGGGGGGGGCTCATCAGAATGTGGTAGCCAATGAATGGAACCTATCGGAAGGGAGGGGGGGCGGGGCCAAAAGGGTGGGCGACGGCGTGGAAGCGATTGTGCGCAAGCGACAAACTGCTGCACACGCCAACGTCTTGGACAGGGAGGGGGGAGGGGGAGGCCTGATACACATGCATAGAAAAGAACGAAAATGCCCTTGTTTATACCAGTGCTGGCTGAACAATGAAGAGAGTACTGTTAAACACTGGGGATGTTAACACTCGGTAAAGTAAAGTAAAATAGTGCCTGTCAGATAAGATGGTCCAAAAAAAGTGTAATTAAGTCTTTTTTGCGTGGTTAATAACATCTTTCCAATGATTACTAACTTAGTAATCATTGGAAAGATGAGTTCCCCCCCCCCTCTCCTCCCCCCTCAACTCGCTTTTAAGGGATTACATCTTGAATCATTGCCTCACTTGATGCAGCTAATCTGGCTGTGACGGTCTCACCTGATGACGGAGACTTGTGTTGCCTCTGAAACGTCGTGATCTTTATTTTATTTTTATTAATTTTGATGTTTTACCTACGTGACTTTACCGAAAAAACCTAAGAATATGAATCCTTGCAGTCACGAAAGCTTCAAGTCTACAGCTCGCTCACACACAGCTCACACACAGCTCACTCACACACAGCTCACTCTCACAGCTCACTCACTCACAGCTCACTCACACACAGCTCACTCACTCACATTGACTCACACACACAGCTCACTCACACTGACTCACACTCACACAGCTCATTCTCACACACACAGCTCACCCTTACACACAGCTCACTCTCACACACAGCTTACTCACACAGAGCTCACACACAGCTCACTCTCACACACAGCTCACACTCACACACAGCTCACTCTCACACACAGCTCACTCACACTCAGCTCACTCTCACACACAGCTCACTCTCACACACAGCTCACTCACACAGCTCACTCACACACACAGCTCACTCTCACACACAGCTCACTCACACAGCTCACTCACTCACATTGACTCACTCACACACACAGCTCACTCACAGCTCACTCAAACACACAGCTCACTCTCACACACAGCTCACTCACACACACAGCTCGTTCTCACGCACAGGTCATACGCAGCACAACTAACACGGCGTTCGTGAGCACCTAACACAAAGATCCCCCGTATAGCCTTAACAAACTGTAGGGGCAAGTGCTGTTAGCGAGCACCTAATAAGGGTGGGACGGCACACGAGGGGTGGGTGGCCAGCACCACGCCCGGTCACCTTTGTCTCCCTCGTGGCGATGTTTACACACCGCACCGGGTCCTCGTTTGAGGCTGAGTCGATGTAGGGGAGGCTCAGGACCGGTTCAGAGACTCGTCACTGGCGGTGTTGGCCACGAGCGGGAATGGAACTCGGCTGGTCGGTGCGGAGCGCAGCGCTCACCACGACACTGCCGCTCCCCTTCTGTCAACAAACTTGAACTTTGACCCCGCTCTCTGACGTCACCGCTTAGCGTGACCTCATCGGCGTCAAACGCACGCAGAAGTAGACCTTGCTAGTGACGTCATGTCACCCACTACCGACCATCGCGCTCTTGAGAGTGACGTCACCTCCGTTCGACCACTGCCGATATCTGTTCCAGTGCCAATCCTTATTTGGGCAAAGCTACGCCCAATTACTGGCCGCTCATTAACATAATATATTCGTGAAAGCCGTCGCGAGTTTATTGCGACGAGTTTGGCACCAGCGCCCCACCCTTCCGACGTATGGGCCGGGCTCATTAACATAATTCATTTAAGTTAACAGAGCCGCTCATTGTGGGAGGGGAGTGTATCGTACCCAGCAAGTGACGTCATGTCACCACCTGCTGCGTGACGTCACGCGGTAACAGGAAGTTTCCGCTCCGCCCGTCCACTGAAATCCGAGGTGAGAAATTCTCGTCGCGGTTGTGGTTCTTGTGGTTGTGTTTGTGGTGGTGGTTGTGGTGGTGGTTGTGGTTGTTTACCGAGGTAGAGTTTCGCTCTCTCTCATGTTGGGATGTCAATTGAGTAGCAGCGAGCATGGAAGCGATGTCCAGGTGGAATATTACAACGCGGGGCCTTGCCTCCTGCCCTCGCCTGATCGCATTTGCTTCAATTCTCTTGCTTAAGATAATTTGTCTTGACCTGGCTCACTACTTTGTAACTTTGTTTTACTTTAAATATTCACGCAGTTTTTTTCATATTTTACCAGGCCAAGCCCGCTTTAGCTGCTCTACCGCTCTTGTTTTCAGAAGCGACCTGCCCACAACAACAACAAGGTGAGGCTTGTCATCAGCGTGGCGGTGTTGACTCTTTGCATGTGGAGTGGGGACAACAGGAGGATCCGGAGGGAAATCCACGCGACCACGGGGATAGAGAGAGGCACGCAAACTCCAAATATACAGCAGGCTTCAGGGTCGGAGAGGTTGTTAACATTTCACCACGGGGAGATAAGAGAGACACGCAGCCTCGGCTGTGTTGATTGATCCTCAATGAATTACTTGGTGGAGTAAGGAAGCATTAATACTGAGCGGAAGAAAGGTGGCCAGGCATGGGTCTGGACACACCACCACCTGTTAACCATGCCAGTGTGTGACAGCGTCAAGTGTGTGTTTGCAGTAAAGTCTATTAACTCTTGAACACGGAGGTTATATCAAAACAATAGTTTGTTTTTGTTTTCCTCTGGAACTCTTTGTAAGAATGGAAACCGTCAGGAAGTTAACACAGCACACACATGCAGCTGAAGTCAGATCTGTTCATCCCAGCATGCAAGGACATCGTGAGCCTGGCTGGCTTCACACCTCTAAGTTGCGATTGGACATTAATTTATGCATTTCTGCATAACACTATTAGTTTTATTTTCAACACCTTTTGCTATGTCAGTGGAATTTAGCTTTTAGAAATATTTATTTTGTAGCCAGACAGCCAAAATTGTGTGCTTGGAGTTTTGGGTTAACATTCATTTTGAAGATACGAGGGCTTCCAGGCATGTTTGTGACCATGTTCCTTCTCATTGTGTGCCATAACAGCCCGTGTGATGAATTTGGGACACTTTTTCACTATATCATGAATATATGAATATGTATAGACGTTTGACTGTGTATATATGCATTCCTCTGTGCATCGATACTGACGTGTAGATGGTGTTGATATTTTTTTTTCTGTCTGCAGCTGTCACTTCTTCTGCATAATTAATCTAATGGAGCAAAGGCACTCTGCACGGCTCGGTGCATACAGCACGGATCGTACTGGAAATTTGACGCGGCACCAGGGAACTCGCACAAGAGAGAAACCCTTCAAGTGCAGTGTGTGTGGGAAGGCATTTTCACATCCATCTGCTCTTCAAAAACACCAGAGAACACACACAGGAGAGAAACCCTTCAAGTGCAGTGTGTGTGGGAAGGCATTTGCACGTTCATGTCCTCTTGTAATACACCAGAGAACACACACGGGAGAGAAACCCTTCAAGTGCAGTGTGTGTGGGAAGGCATTTGCACGTTCATGTTCTCTTGTAATACACCAGAGAACACACACGGGAGAGAAACCCTTCAAGTGCAGTGTGTGTAGGAAGGCGTTTGCACAGTCATCTACTCTTGCAATGCACCAGAGAACACACACGGGAGAGAAACCCTTCAAGTGCAGTGTGTGTGCGAAGGCATTTGCACATTCAATTTCTCTTGTAGCACACCAGAGAACGCACACAGGAGAGAAACCCTTCAAGTGCAGTGTGTGTGGGAAGGCGTTTGCACAGTCATCTACTCTTATAGAACACCAGAGAACACACACGGGAGAGAAACCTCTCAAGTGCCGTGTGTGTGGGAAGGCGTTTGCACGGTCATCTACTCTTGGAAAACACCAGATAACACACACGGCAGAGAAATCCTTCAAGTGCAATGTGTGTGGGAAGGGGTTTGCACGTTCATCTACTCTTGTAGACCACCAGAGAACACACACGGGAGAGAAACCCTGCAAATGCAGTGTTTGTGGGAAAGCGTTTGCACAGTCATCTACTCTTGGAATACACCAGAGAATGCACACAGGAGAGAAACCCTTCAAATGCCGTGTGTGTGGGAAGGCGTTTGCACAGTCATCTACTCTTGTAGAACACCAGAGAACACACACGGGAGAGAAACCTCTCAAGTGCAGTGTGTGTGGGAAGGCGTTTGCACGTTCATCTCGTCTTGTAGCACACCAGAGAACACACACGGGAGAGAACCCCTTCAGGTGCACTCCTTGCAGGAAGACGTTTGCACTTGCATCAAATCTTCACGCACACCAGAGAACACACAAGCATCAGAAGATCCAGAAGGAGTGGAGTCTGAAATCAGCTTGTGAAAGTCAAAGTGCCGCAATGAGCCCATCCCTCATTAAACAAGAACTGGAAGAAAAGCCCAGCTTGGACACTTTTAAAGGTATCAATGTGAAATATGAAGAGGTGAAGGTGAAATCTGAAGAAGTGTTGGTCAAGAGCGAAGAAGTGAAGGTAAAATGTGAAGATGAAGATTTAACTCCAAAATCAGACCTTCACATCGATAGAGGCAACATGAAGCAGGAGGAGAATTCTGACTGTGAGGCAGAGCGAGGCAACTCCCAGCAGTTTGTGGAAGTTGAGGTGTGGGTGGACTTCCTCTGTAACAATACAACGTCAAATGTAGACCCGGTAGATGTGTAGCTTGAGATTATGTCGCTCCAATAGACGCACCTTTGTCACAGGCCTTTAATGACAAGAATGTGAAGTTGAACGCACAATTCCTAGGTTCAACCTGCAGGGTAAGAGCGGCCAGTCTTTGTGGACCTGTGGGTTGTGTAGATATCTAACCAGGAGTGAGAGCCAATAAGCTCCCAAGCATTTGCTATGTAATCATAATTGCATTTACATGGTGCTTGCTTAATCGCCTCAGCAACTTGTGGTTTTGTATCGTATCTCGTCTCAAACACTCGAAGAGCATCCCCAAGTAGCAGCTGCCCCTGTGTGGCACAAGGAGGTGGCCCTACACCGACCTGCATGTGGACAAGAGCCTGTCAGTAGGGGGCGGTGGTTGATGTGGCATCTTAGTTGTGGAGTTTGTAGGTAATGTTTTAGAATTTGATAAATTTTGACTCAGATGCCAGCATGCAATGGCTTCGTTTTCAATTACACAATATTATGTTGTCCATACACTGTTAAGCAGACGGTGCGTATTTTTTAAAATAACTTATTGTTATCTTCTTGGTTCTTTCGGTAAAGTCACGTAGAAGGGAAGTAATAAAATAATACAAATAAAACATAATAAGATTATTTTATATTTTATTATTTTATTACTTCCCTTCTACGTGACTTTACCGAAAGAACCAAGAAGATGAATCCCTGCAGTCACGAAAGCTTTAAATCGAAACTTATTGTTAATACGATGTAACCTGATTCAGCATAATTAGGTGCAGTAATTAAGTTTTGTTAAAATGACTCAATAATTTAGAATTAATACTTGTCTGATTTTGTCTATAAGGGTCAAACATTGATTAAGTGATGTTAGGACAAAGTGTGTGTTTTGGAAGTAACCTGGATAGTTCACTCTAGTGAGACCCGTTGTTTTTGTGATACAGGTCAAAGGGTACTTTTGTGTTTTCAGGAAGCATCTCCCTTTGGAGCAACTCATTGTCTTTGAAATAGGGAGCTCATTCGGATCATTCATCAGTTACAAGGCATACCACTCAAAAGTTACACCAATATGAGGTACATTCTCTACAACACGAATTATAATTTTGTATTACATGTTGATGTAGATTTTGTCGAACTAGGACTAGAAATTCTCCTTGCTGATTAACGTCTGAATGTTCACAACCATGGGTTGAAGCAAGCCCCTCACAACCTTTTACGACCTTGGGCCAGGAAAGTCATGAAAAAAAACTGCGCACGAACGACGCATCCACGCAAGCTCCCGATGGTCCGTTTTGAAGTTTGAAAATGAAACAACGTTGAATTGTATTATATTTTGAATTAGATAATTGTATTTCTTCATTAAAAGCTTATATCATTTTACATCTGGTAGACTTAATCGAAAACTACATTTCGTGTAAATTTCCTCTCGTCGTTAAGTAGATGGCCTTGCCGGGGATTTGGTTCAATGCGGACTTTCACCTTGTTGGGATCGCGGGATCGAGATAAGGCGACACAGAGCTGGCTGTGCGAGAAGACCGCCGTCCGTAGATCGATTCCAACGTGATCGAACGTCTGTCCCTGCGCCTCCGTCGTTCATACAGGGGGTGTGTAGGTTTGCAGCGCCCCCTGCATGAAAACGACGGAAAGTGCAGCGTTCGTCACAGATAGATGAAGTTGTGCGCTTATATAAGAGTATAGCCAGTGGGTTTCAAAGTACCTTCGTCTTACAGCAATCAATTTCGCGTGAGCCCAACGCATTAAAACAATGCTCAGCTGAGCGGGGCAAGCCACGGTGTGGGGGGGGGGGAGGCACCTTATATATGTCACGTGCCGTAGCTCACGTGACTTCTGCCGCGAAAATGTCTGGATGTTTTAATCTGATGACGACTGCTTGTGTTGTGATCGAAACGTCGCGATTTATTTTATTATTTTATTTTTTCTACGTACGTGACTTTACCGAAAGAACCAAAGAGTATGAAAGACGTCTTGTCTGCTGATCTTGTTCATATCTGTGTACATCGATATCCACATTGCTTACATGTACATGCCACACTGAAATTAATATAAACTAGAACGACTTCCGGGGATGGGCAAAGATCGAGAAAACTCTTTCCATGGAGCGAGTTAAGTGTTTTCGAATCAACATCTCTGTCCGTCTTTGTCTCTGTTGCCTCTGTGTGTCTCTCTCTGTCTCCTCTATCTTTCTCTGTCTCTGTATTCCTCTTGTCTGTGTCTGTCCGCCTGTCTTGTCTGTGTGTGTCTGTCTATCAGCGTCTGTCACACCGGAGTCAACGACTGTCAATAGCAGCACACGCCCGTTTAACTCCCACGGCTACACGCCACTCAAACTTGCTCCGAACACACAAAGACAAAGATCCCCCATATAGCCTGGACAGAATGTCGGGGCAAGTGCCCAAGCCTTGTCCCTCGTTTTCATGAGCTTAGTAATCAAAGGATCAAACCATGGTGGGCGGTTCCCTTTAGTTTTAAATCTAACCAACGGAGCATGTTTGTCAAGAATTTGAAGAAACGTGTACCTGAAGATCTCCCAAGCTGTAGTCAGGTTTGGGATTTCAGAGACCTTGTCAATATCCAAGTGAAGCACATCATTAGTAAATGCCTGAATGCTCAAGTGTCTCATGGAGTGCTTCTCAACCAATTTAGGGGGGGCTTTGGGTCTGGCTGATGATCTCACCCCAAATATGAAGGAGTGATCACTAAGGTTATTACCCAGAACACCAGTCAGTGCGATATTATGAGGGTCATTTGTCAATAGGACGTCAAGCAGACATGACTATCCCGGATTTTTTAGGTTGGGTCTTGTGGGGACATTTATTAATTGAAATAGGTTAAATTCATCTGTAAAATTTGTGGCCACGGCCTGCGATTTTAGCCAATTCCAATTTAGATCACACACTAAAACGATTTCACCTTTCGGGAGGCCCCCAAGAAGCTCTCTCAGTGCAGACGCAGCTTCAACATCCCTACCACTAGGTGGTCTATAGCAGCACACGACCAATATCTGTTGATTATTTGGGAGAGTTATTCTGAGAGCAAGACCTTCAAAGCAAGTTTTTTTTAAACAAGGAGTGAGCTGGTGAACATGCAATAGTATTACAAATATAGATGGCAATTCCACCTCCTTTAGATCCTCGGTCAAGCCCAAAAAGGTTGTAGTTGTCAATCGTAATCTGCAAGTCATTTACAGCAGGAGTGAGAAATGTTTGTTAGGCAAACAATGTCCGGGTCCAGACTTGCCAGTTCTAGTTTTAGTTTACTTAATTTAATCACAAGCCCTCTGATGTTGACGTGTAGAACACCAACACCTTTTCTGCCAGAAAAATCTACGTAATTATACGTTTTCTTTGAGCCAGGATGACGCTCAATACCACCCAGAAATAAGAAAAGTAGAATTAATAGTTTGCACAGGTATTTTCTGTGAAAGGATAAAGAGCGGTGAACCTTGGACGAATATCAGCAACTCGCAGATGGTGATATTCTTAAGAGCAAAATGAAGTTTGGAAGGAGTGCTGGTGAAGTAATGGGACAAAGATAGGGTTGAAAAGGATTCAATGATGGAGTGTATAATTGTCTATACGCTGTTTCATTAGCAGGTGTAGTGGCAAATTGAGCAACAAGTATGGACGCGAAGTAACGAGGGTAGCCGTTTGTAGAGTTGAGTGTGGCACTAGATATGGCCGGGAGGGACAACAGTAGGATATACAGCAGGAGAATTGCCATCTTTAAAATATCAGGGGTATACTCTTAGTTCTTTCGGTAAAGTCACGTAGGTAAAAAATGAAATAAAAATGTATAAAAATAAAACAATGAAAATCACGACGTCGTGATTCACTTTGCAAGATCAAAGGTGCAACATCAATACCTTTGTCAAGAAGGTTTATCTTGCCTACTTAAAAAATTGGGCTCCTCACAAAGTGTGTAAAATCTGTGTTGAAACTTTGCGATCATGGTCTAAAGGAAAGAATGCTAAGCTGAAGTTTGGTGTGCCAATGGTTAGGAGAGAACCTACAAACCATTTGGATAACTGCTACTTCTGCCTTGTCAATGTAAAAGGTTTCAATAAGAAAAACAAACCACATTTACAATACCCAGATATCCTATCTACCAGACGACCAGTTGAGCACTGTGAGGAAATATTTGTGCCTGTGAAGTATTCGGAATGACGGCAGGAAACCACTTGACGGGTAGCACACTTTTTTATTAAATCTTGACTTGTTACGGATACAACGTGTGATCTCTATTCTCACACTACACACTCCACTGACACGTGTGGTCACTACTTCTCCCGCTACACACTCCACTGACACGTGTAGTTACTATAGCTTACGCTGCATGCTCACACTGCATGCTCACACTGCATTCCAGCCCCGTAACGTCCATGGAGCCTACAGACCCACCCCAAGCTTGGGCGTGGGTCACAACCTCTGGGTCCCGCGAGCCGGCCCTCACACGGACGTTCGGCCCCGGGTCCCAGGGTCCCGCCTCTGGGTCACACAGAGCCCCGGTCCTTACAAGGACAGCGG